GTCTGTCTGTCTGCCTGCTGGCCTGTCTGTCTGTCTGCTGGCCTGCCTGTCTGTCTGTCGGTCAGCCTCTCTGTTCCAGGAGAGACTGAGCCCTTTTCTGTTCAACACAACACGCTCCCCTCACTCCCACCCCTGCCGCCCCCCAGGAATCTCACCCCCGACTCCCAGCAGATAAAGAGGAGACCCCTCTCTCGGCCGGCGAGATGGACCGGGACAGAGTGGGCGGCCGAGGCGCGGGTCCGAGGCGCGAGGCGCGAGGCGCGAGGCGCGACCGAGACAGGGACCCAGCCGGGGGGGCGCAGAGAGCGGAACAGGAATCAGGAGGGGGGGGAGGAGGGGGGGCGGAGAGGGCAAGACAGAGAAAAGACCGAGAGTGCGAGAGGGAAATACCGGCTCACGTCGGCGGCGCGGTCCTCTTTCTTCCTCCTCCTCCTCCTCCTCGGCGCTCCCTCGCCTGTTCCCCGCGATTCAGGGGCGCTCCGCGGCGATCGACCCCAAGATCCCTTCTCGCCCCCTCTTTCTCTCTTCTCTCTCCTCCTGTCCGGCTGGGTCTCGTCTTCCACAGCGCTCCTCCGTCCTCTCCTCTCCCTCGCTCCCTCGCTCTCCTCCTCCTGCTCCCATTCCCCAGCCTCCTCTCTCTCCCTCTCCCTCTCGCTCTCTCGCGGTGCGGAGAGTCCGCTCGGCCCCCCTGGGAGGAGGGGGTGGGGGCTGGGGGGCGTGATGGTGGTGGTGGTGGGGGGGGGTTGCGCTCAGAAGAGAGGAGAGCAGGGGACCCCCCGAAAATCCGAACCGAGGAGGGAGGAAAAAACCGGAGAAGCGCCTGGCTGGTGAAAGAATGCAGGGAGAAGGAGGGAGAGAGCGGAGAGCGAGGCAGAGAGAGGAGAGCGAGGCCTTCCTTCTTCGTCCTCTTGCGGGCTGAAGTTCATGACAGGGGGGCGCGGAACGCCACTCGCGGGCAGCGGAGGGGAAGAAAAAAGATATATCGTCGATCAGAAGCGGTCTTTCACTACGAGTCCTTCCGTTTCAGTCCACAAAAGCTGCCGAGAG